ATGCCAGATGACTCACAATTTGACAAAAAACGCAATTGACGTCAGGGGGGCCAACTTGCCCCGCCACGGGGCAAGTTGACCCCAGGGTCGGGGCAAGTTGGCACCCTATACGAAAATGAAGTAAGTATCCCATGTAAACGCCTTGAAACACAATTTTATACATTTTTAATTTATTAAATTGATTTTTGGGAGTCTTTGATGTATAAATAGTTTAAATGAGGCAGATTTATTGAGATTGCCGTACGTCACGTTGTGTGTGTTGCAAGAACCAAAATATCTATCAATAAAATTTGTTTTGTTTTAATTAAGAATAAATTATTTAATGAGAGAACAGTTTCATTAGCTCTGTATGTATAAATTCAAATTACTGTTTTTCTTTTTATCAAGAGCTTGTAAAATATGTGGGTATTACCTCCAATATTTCTGTGACTGTCAGTCACCATCATCAGGGAGTAAATGACTAGGGTCATTTCACCTGGAATGAAAATCCAGGTCAATTGCCCCTAATCACTGGCCTTGTGTTGTAACTGTTACTTGCTCCCCCCGGGGCTCCTCTGCATCCCTCTGGAGCACCGTGAGGTAGATAGCTGGTAAATCATACCCCCCCTGTCTGTTCAGGTCTGGTTGTTTGGTCCTGATGTGTACAGCTTCTGCTATTTTTCTTTGGAATGTTACAACACAAGGCCAGTAATACCCACATATTTTACAAGCTCTTGATAAAAAGAAAAACAGTAATTTGAAATTATTTAATGGTATAAAGCAGGTTTTTAATGAATGAAAACGAAAAATAAATTTTTGTTTTAAAAGAAACTAACAAATTCAGTTTTAAACTGGTAATTATTTAACAAATCGTTGAGTTTGTTTCAACAATGGTTTGTAGCTTTGTTGCGGATTGTGGTCAATATGAGGGTCTAACTGGCCCAGAATCAAGAGGGCCAACTAGCCCCGGGTGCACATTTTTAATTTTAAAGGATTGTAGCCATTTATGGTGCTAGAATGAACAACGATGATACATTTCGGTATAACTTGAAACAATGAGCTTTAGTTTGATGCCCTATACATATACTATATTCGATCAAAAGCTTATGAAAATAGATTTTAAAGTTTTTCTAATAAAGTTACTTTAAGATGCTAAATTATTTCATTTGGACTCACTGCCGACGCTTTCTTAGCACTATTGGATACGGTCACTTTACTAAATGATATGATCAATTTTTTTTACCCGATAGTTACTTTTTCATAAATTGATGGGGGGGGGGGGTAACTTACCCGGGGTCCAACTAGCCCCGGTCTCCTCTACCTTAAATTGATGCAGTGGCGTTATATATACATTTTTATTCAATTCCTCCATTTCATTTTTTTGTTTCCACAAGCTTCTATATTTTGATAAAAAATGACTATCAAGAGATACAGTCGCTTCTTGAAATCAACCAAGGTTGTATGAAGAAAGATATATAGCAAAGGACATGGATGCGAAGTTTTTTCTTGGAAGGTTAGAGTGAAAATAATATATACAGTATTATTGGTGACTGACTCGTAGATATCTGCTTACATCATACTGTAGTGTTAATGCGGTGTCAATAATCCATTAAGTTCATATACTGAAATACTATACAGGAATATGCTGGTATAGTCGATATTAATACGTTTATCATCCCATAAATGTAGGTCTCATCACTCTCAAATCTGTGACCAAAGACCAGCGTTTGCAAAAACTGTCAACTCGCAGGTGAAACATTTCCTTGATTATTTTTCACACACACATTCATGTGCGAGTGTATTGCTGTGTTCTTTTGACAATTTTCTATTTTTAAGTGACAAACACATAAAAGCGTTCAGGACAAGTTCAGCACAAGTTCAAACAGACAAACAAACAGACAGCCCGGACGGACGGACAGACAGACAGACAGAATGATTTGCTTGCTTACCTGATTTCCAAAAACTCCCAGGGCAGTTGCCGTGGAGACCTCATTTGGCCCAAACCACACGGCGGCCAGTCGAGGAGGGATCCCCAGGACGAAGATCTGTGCCACAGAGCAGATGGCTTGAGCAAACATAAGGAATCCAAATCTGGAAGGTTCCACACTGGCACATTTCAGCCAAGCACCTGTGCAGTTCAGGAATGTGCCCACAACACAGGTGACCCTCAGTCCCTTCCTGTCCAGCAGCCATGTTGCAGGGAAGATCAGGGGGATGTAGGCCAGCATGTAGATCATAGACAGCCAGTCCACTGCCAGCTGCTGCTGAAACTCGTCCCCTGGAAGACTCTCATTGTAGTAGCGTAATATAATGTTCCCAATGATGTTCAGGTGGATCCACTGGAAGTTATTGCTCATAGAGAAGAGGCAAAACAATAGCAGCATCAGCCACCGTATTTTGAATAGTTGAGTTGTGGTGTCATTGAACGTCTCATAGCTCTTCGTTACTTTATTCCTATCCAGTGCTTCCTCTGAGCCTTTCATTTTAAGCGCCAGTCTAAAATAAGTAGACGCACTTGTTGGGGTCTATGCCCTGTATAGCAACCGTATACTATATTCTACGTGCCCTAGTAAAGTAGGCATACTGGTACCTTAAAAGACGGGTCATCACCATAGTGAAGTGGGTCACTAAAGGTGATGATGTACGCTACTCTTGCTTTTGAATACAAAAGGTTTCGTGTTTATTACAGGGATAAAACATAAGATCTTACAAATCTGTGCAAGTGGCAACATTTGGTGCGTAATAATCCATGAAAAACGAATTTTTATCGCGCTGTATAGTGAACAGTCTAGAGAGAACTGACAAAGGAAGGGGGGGGGGGGGGAGAAGGCACGGCCTGCCTCACATCTGGGGCAGTGTTCTAATGAACAGATTTCACTTACTTGACTGTTCACTATTTACTGTCTCATAACGTCAGTTGGACTGATGAAGTCCAATATGTTGGGACGAAAGCTTTTACAGGTACGCTTTCAGTTAGTTTAGAAATTGAACAGATCAAAATTTCATCGTAATGAGTGATACATATTTTTAAATCTACGATACCTTAGTCACAATAGCAATCAATCTCTAAATTCGCCCCATTCAATATAATAAAAATCGCCACCTTTCTCTTTTGTACCCACAAAAGTGAGGTTAGACACAAAAATTGACTTGCCATAGGGAAAAAAACTCATTTGATTAATCCGGGCAATTTGATATGGCATTTTTTTAGCATTTTAAGATAAAGCGTGTATGTAAAGTATGGTCTCTGATATCAGCGGCTCCAAGTTAAACAGTTTTAAAGATAAAACACAAAACCTTTTTTACATTAAATCTGTAATGTATACACAATACGCACTTAAAAGGTAAAGACGGCCATTTAGTACTTCATCAAAAATGGATCGATTTTTGATTCTACCCTTATAACCGTTATGTCATCTTTCATTTTACTTTAAGCACCGTTTCTTAAAACGCGTTTTTTCGCGTCAATATTGCCTTCTCTCCCCACAATGAACCTCGGGGATTGAGCTGAAATTTTTGCCAACAAATTAAAATTTATACAGTTTCAGTGCTTTGAACTTGGCGTTTGATTAAATTTTCGCTATTTTATGACTCTCTGCGTTATCTCGAGTTGAATTATGAACTCATTAAATGGAACTAAATAGGTTTACATGACGGAACTCGCTTCAATCTGATTACTCTGTTACTCACGAAGCAAGTACATGTACAATGTTCATAACTCATGGATATTGATAATTCCAAGTCGTATATTTTACTGCGAAGATGGACGTGTATGCTCCTAGCAGAATAGGGCTGTTTTAAGTGGACACGTTAGAGAGGGTAAGGGACCATTCAGATCGAGAAGAGCCGAGTGCTAGCTAGGCCGCGTTCTAAATATGGCGGACCTACATGATTGAAAGACCGCTTAATCCTGTAATGGTCTCTCCGCCTCTCACGTGCCTCCCCACGCGTCATTCCTGCAGGGGCACAGTAATTAAATCTCGGCTCAATTCAACCTGTCGAGATTATTATTATTATTATTATTATTATTATTATTATTATTAAAAATACATACAACCATCAGCCCGTCATCACACTTCACCTTTATACATATAGGTCTATTTTCAACGCAAGTGTCCTTTACATCAGTTACTGAATTGTGTCTTTTACACTATATTCAGTGAAAATTTTCACCATTACTAGCCCCCGGTTGTTCGATATCTAATTAGATTGATACAATTAAAGGTTTCAACCTGTATCTAAGTCATTATGTCACGATGTTTCATTTCGTCCTAACAACTTTATCTCCCACCCAGACAGTGAATTTAAGGCAAGGATATCAATTCGACGATTAAAGTGTTTCAGAAAGAATGCGATAAAGATTTCCACTTCTGAGAGAGAGAGAGTCCATCTTATTTACCACAACACTTCAGCTCGTCTCAACTAACACATTCTTGGTTTATAACATTGTCACCTTTCCCGGAATTTTCAGTAGAACTAACTTATTTACGCTGCTATCACTGAAAATCAGTTCGGACAATAAATGTGAGAATGACGTTAAAGGAACATCCCCGTAAAGTAAACCGTGATGGCAATTAATGGGGAAATTGTTGTTCTGTAAGTTTTGGTCGCATGCACACGCGGTTTTAAATGTATACCACCAGTCATTTGATGCTCGTTCACAATATTTGTCATTCTGTGATTCAAGTAGCTTTGAATGTTATAACGTCTACAAGTGAGTGATACATCACGTCTAATAGGTAGATGTTAACTGTCGTGTGCAGACGTCATTAAAGAGATGATTTCTAATCTCCGTGCAGTAAACACATTTGTCTCGCCAGTTCAATGATCGATTATCAACTTGGGATATAGGCCCCTATAGAGAAATGTTTTAAAAACTTCAAAGGATGATCACGCTGACAAAGAATGAAACCTAAAGAACAGTCAGTGACAGAATGTGTTGTTATTCTTTACTTCTATGCACTAAAAAAATTTCATATCCTACCCGTCGGTCTACAGAGTATGTCTGAAATCAAACATTCCCCAAGTAGTAAGTGAATGCTGTGTAGGTGCCCGTAACGACATAATTGAGCATGTGAGACCACTGACTCAACTAATTAATATAAATAAAATATATGTTTACAATGTCATGTGTTGATATATCGCTTAATTATTAAAAGATCACAGGATATATAAGATGTATATAGTTTGTTACTTACGTCAGTTTCAATAATCTTATCATACATGTATGTTTATGAAGTGAATACACATCATACATATTGTGAAATTTTGGGAAACTGGCGAATCACATATCATTTGTAGTCATCAGTTATTGAAAAGTGACAGCAGGCCCGTAGCCGGGGGGGGGGGGGGGGGGGGGGGGGGGGGGGGGG